CCAAGAGAGACGAAGATGGTCGGATGTGGACAAAGTCAAGTCACGCATTTCCTCCAAACTTGATTTACAATTCCAATGGCAGAAAATGCCACAAATGTAACTGTGGCTGTGGCTCTAAACTTTTTAGGGGGATTTTAATGTATTAAACATGCTTTGATTTTACTATTTAAAATACTTGAAAATAATTCAAAACAAATAACAGAAAATACAGAACATTTTCATAACTAAGCTTAGCTTAAAATTTGAAAATCCGCGCTTCTCTGCAATTACAAAATTATTCTCCCAAGACCTCAAAGACCTTCTTAGTTGAAGAAAACAATCAAAGACAGTGCAATACCCTCTTAAAAAACCGGCCCCCAAGAGCGCCAGCTAGAATCGCAATCCACAAAAGGAGATACATAGATACATTTGTAGCTACAACTTTGACGCTGGGCTGTCTGTCGCCTGTCACTCGGACCGAGGTACTCGTAAACAGGAAAACATTTCCTCGAATGCAGCATTAAGTTGAGCATGTTCACAGCATTTCCTTTGTCTGTTCTCGAAGCCGAGGCACTTTTTTACTTTGTATTTGGCGTGGGCCGTCTGTCCGATTGACACTGGCGCCGTCTGACATTGAAATCCTGGGCAATTTAACTGGCTTTCTTGGTGTTAAGTCGCCAAAAATCAAAACAGAACCAGAGACCAACGTTTGGCCTACTTTCGGTCCGCCAAAATAGTCGTGCGTCATAAATAAAAGCAAGCAGCTACTGAAAACGCTTTGGGGTCCATGACAGTTGCCGAAATAGCCCCAAAGAGTGAGTATCTTTTGCTCTGGGTATACAGCATAGTATATGTATATATACATATATATTTAGGCATATATCTTGCCAGGAGGCGACGACGGCTCTGAGTCATCCGATTCTTGCCAAAGCTTTGACACACATAATGGGGAAAAAGTGTTTGGGGAATTTAAAGAGCAACAGAAAAAAACTAAATAAACATGTCTTACAACATACTTGAGAGCTAAACAAATTCTACAATTTAAATGGGGTTGAAAAGTTGAAGGTCAGCTACAAAATAGTTTGCTAAATTGGTCTAGTTTTTCAAACAAATGTGGTAATTATATTGATTAGACTTTGGAAAATACTTTAAATTCCCTAAATATATTTTGTTCAAAAAGTGAAGATGCAATAACATATCTTTAGGGAATAATTTTTAATTCATTTTGCTTTACAGTGTATATTTTAAATAAAAACTTGAGTTGATAACATCGAAAATATTAACAATTGGTCTTCAATTTCCAATTCGATTTTTCAAACGTGTCCTAAAATGCGCCAATTTATCGGATAAAGCAATTTCAGTTCTTCAAACACTATAAAATATTTCGAAAATCAAGTTGGTTTCCTTTCTCTCTTCATTTATTTGCACATATTTCTAGGGTTCCCCTGGGTTTTGATTACATATGTTTTATACTTCATAAATAAAATTATTTATTTACTTTTATATAAAACAAATGTATGCATTTTACAAGGCCAACCGTAAACAAAAATTCTTTCCCAAATATGCTTCAGTTTGGTGACTTAAATTCCATGTAAATATACAAAAATAATCTTTTACAACCCAAGAAAAACAATTATATCCCATAATTTTAATGTTTTTCTCTTCCTCCTCCCTCTCTTTTTTATTTACATTTTGCAGATTATTTTGGTTGACTTTGGTATCTGTTTATTTGCCCACATGCCTTGTCGTTTTCATAAAAAACACACATTCAAAAAATATCCTCAACAGATGTGCGGATGGATGAGCTCAAAATGTAGAAGCCATCATTCATACACACAATATATATAAATATATGTAATTGTGAAAAAATCAGCTAACATAATTCCGATACGATAGGGAGATCGGTCTATGTGGGGCATATAAACACTGACAGAGATCGGCGGGAAGATCATGATGAGGTTATCGCCGATGACGCCGAATGATGTCATATGCGGCGGCGGCGGACACACTCGAATGCCTCATATCTAAAGCTTGTTTTCGGGTTTTGTGTTTCAAATTAAGCCCATACATACATCATTACCTATATAAAATATATATCGTATATATTTTATGCCCTATTGAGGCTGTGTTGGTGTAGCTTCATTGTTTGCCATTAGAATGTCTTGTCTGCCGGTTTTTAAAACTCTCAAAGTTGTTTGTCGGGTTTTTATTTCCCTTTTTTTTAGTTTGTACTTTTTTGCTGTCTGCAAAGATCGGCAAAAGACTATATACTACCTCATCGACTGACTGCCTCGTTTTCTGCTAAATTCAAGTTCAAGCAACAGACGCTGCGCGGGTGTATATACTTTATAATTCTTTTTTTGTGTTTCTTGGGAGTCTTGAAGAAACACAAGAAGTAAGTCAGGAAAACACACTTCCAAGGTGGCTATATTTTGGAGTTTCGTCTTGGGGTGGATTTGCTATTGTTTCCTAGGGGTGGTTCCTCAATCACTCCACCTTCTTGGGGTGGTTTTTAGCCTCTTCTAACGCGCTTCTTGGCCTCCTGATTGATGGCAACGCCTGCCGTGTTTTAATTCACATTTCTAACTTTTATTGCACAGAAGGAAAAGGGGTGGTTTTTTTCTTTTCTTGCCATTTATTTACGTTTTTACGTACCGGCATTTCTTGGCCACCCTATAGGATTTTTTTTTGCTAGCTAACTGGCTTATTTTTTGGCTATTTTATGGCAACTTGGGGTGATGATAAATTGCTTAATTTATTGATAGATAAGGGAAATATAGGTACATGTATTTGGGTCAGAGGGGTGCCAGGATTTCCATGTATATATGGGAAACAATAAGGAATCTTTTCGCTTCTATAGTAATATCATATTTCATTCTTTGAGTTTTCTTTGTTGCTACTTAAGAATGCAAAAATTAGGGGAATGTCTTCCGGGGAAGAAAAGGAAATTTGATATGCTTCTTTTGTATTGCAAATTTCTTATATTGAATTTATGAATGAATTGTTTATACATATGTATATATTTCAAATTTATAAACTTTGAAGTATTCAAAATATTTGTAGTAGATATACTTTAACGGAAAAGACACATAAAAATCAAATAATTAAGGTAACTCTCTAATGCAACCCTTTTAAACCCTTTTAATTTAGGGAAAACTTTTATTTGGTCATAATTTCTGTAGACTGCCCACTTTGGACTACCGTTCCCACCTAGTTTATGACTGATCCCATAAACCCATTTAGCCAACTATTAGGTCATTCCCATAAAAAGAGACTCCCCGAGGAGGGGCTCGTCGCTGAAGTCATAAATGGGCTGAAATAAAAGTGCAATTGTGGCCGGCAAAAGGCAAACGCAACCAGTTGCAACTTGGTAAGGGGATGTTTAAGTGCCGACGTCATGGGTGAAAAATAAAAATGTCAATAAAAATTACAGCAAATTGCCGCCTTTGGCATTAGGAGGGGGCGGTGGTCTATGGTCACACGCAGGACTCGTGTAGTTACCAAGGTTACACTATTATAACCGCGCCAGCCTGGCTATGTCCTTCGGCTCCCTTTGTCCTGGCTTCAATTGAGCGCTCTGATGATTAAATTACCCGAGTGCACAGCGAGGATAATGAAGCACACAAAAGGACAATGAGCGGGTGCCTGGCATAGTGCATTAAGCAATTGTCCTTTTCAGGCAACTATGTACTATATATGTATGTGCCATGTCCTCGACGCCAGGCAGTCTCCGCGTCTAGGAGTCGCCGCTGAAATTGCATTTTTCATAGCTTATGCCACAAAACGTTGCTCCCTAAATTTTCATTGATTTTCTCCTCGGAGTTTCCCGCCGATGATTTCATTTTAAAACCAACTTCTGGGCGCCTGGCGGTTATCCTAAAAGCAACATGTGAACGAGGGCAAGACGAAGTTCTAGAAAGTGAGGTCGTCTTCCGCCGAAGGATGAGACCTGTCACATCATTTTCGCTTTTAATTTCGCCTCTGACTGTGCCTGTGCCACAGTGCCACAGTGCCACCGATGACCGCAGAAGCCAACGAAACCAGATGACATCACAATTTTGTGAGTGGGTTTGATTGTGTCAGTGTGTGTCTTTTTGTGCCAAATGATTGATGAGTAAGCTTTAAGGAGGTTTTAATAGGGGACAATCCAAGGATATTCAAGGCAAAAACATAAAGTTATAGATTTATCTTCATTTAAAATAAGATTTAGTAAAAGGAAGCTGGTAATAATAGTTTTTACTACCTTTGAATTTAAAAACACTTTAAGAAACATACAAAAATTATAAAAATTATAATTCTAGAAAGATATCATCATCATTTTAATACAAATTCCTTATATATAATAAAATATTTTGAAAATAATAATAATAAATTTAATAAATTAATAACCCCATTATTCCAATCATAAAAAAGACCTGTAACAAAGCTTCACCATAATCTAATGCAAATTTTAAAACGTAATTTCATTGACAACAAATCCATTCCCAACTAAAATATTCAAAATAAATATTGAAATAATCGGAATAATATCTGAATATTTGTATTTATATTAGGACTGCTTGCAGCCATAAATGTTTTCTTGAAATCGGTTAATAATGCTTCCGTTCCTATAACAATTGCTTAGGCTAATTATTCGGCTAATCACCAATTCGTTGCTTCTTGTATTGTTATGGGTTCATTATTTGCTATTTATATTCTCCATTAAACAGAAGCACACACAAAATATATATCAGTGTATATATAAATGTATACAGTGACGTAAATATATATAGTAACAGCACGAGCACTTGTTCGTATGTCTTGGCCAACTGTCGCCAGGGAATTCGAAATCCGAAAACGTATTTTAATTCATTCGTATTTCTCTCATTTTCCCTTTGCTTCTTTATTTTTTCAAATTAAATGAAAATATTTTAAATTCAACACACTGTCTGCCAGCAGAACTACCAAAATAAGTTTTCGAATAAGCAGAAAACTAAAAGGAAACACTATGATTTATATATAAATATACTCAAGAAACACACCGAAAAGCGCGCGTTGCTGTTTTTTGTTTTGTGTTGATTTTATTCGTATTATTTTTGTTGGTTTTTTGGCGGCAGCTGCCCCAAGAAGAAGCTGTATATATCTTCGGCGTGGGTGATTTCAACTCCGATTCCGAATCGCGATTCCGTCTACGATTTGTGTTCCGGTTGCGCGTCCAAACGCCTCGCCGTTCGAAAGAAAACTAAACGAACGTTCGCCCAGCTCGTGAGGAGAATGTTCCCCAGCAGCTGTTCCACTGGGACGGCAGTGTGACTTAGCCAGCCGGCATGAAAATTTCCTTGCATACTTGTAGTCGTTGGCGCAAAAGGTTTTGTTTTGGCTTATATTTATGCTACGAGTTTTCCGGCACACGAAATTCTATATATTTGGTGTGTGTGTGTGTGTGTGTTTTTATTTTCGCGGCTAGCGTGTCTGGCATTTTCCAACCCTTAGGCAGCCCGCAGGACCCACAGGACACATTCGCACGGAAACATCCCCACAATAGGGAAGCAGACACACGTGCTGCCAAAGAAGGGTGCTTTTTGTGTGTCTGCAATACAGAGAGATATGCATATAAAGACATGCAATAGAGCATTTCCTTAATGAACTAGAAAATATTGACCTAATATGCATAACTAAAAGGTCCTTAATAAGTTGTTTACTCTCAGCGAGAGGGGTGTGTGGAAAGTGGAACTAAAGCAAATATAAATATTACTTTCGTGATTGTTTTGGCTGCTTTTTAATTGAGTTTTATAGTCCGTCTGGGTCTTGTTGGTGGTGTGATTTAAACTATACTCACGCTATGCTATGAGCTAATGCACTTGGTTTTTAATAATTAATGACATTTTATGCCTGATTTCTGGATACAATTAGTTTAATTTATTCAACTACATCAAATCAGAAATGTTCTGTATGTTTTAATGATTATTTCCATAAACTCATTAAGATTTCTGCAATCCTTAAACTATATTAATGTTAACCCTTTACCATTTTCACTTAGTATTAAAGTTAAAGCATACATTTTAAGCTTTTAAATTATTACAATTCCTATTATTATAATCTCCACTGACCAGCACTAACCTCCCCCAAAATGTTAATTATTCTATTGCCATGCCAGGTGCAACCAACCTACCTACATGTGTATTTACCAAAACAAACTTTGGACAAACTCTCCTCCCAAAAACAGCTGCATTTCTGGTATATAATTCCCAAGAGTGTTCGATTATGGATATATAGCCAGAAACAGTTGTTTGGCCTGCTTCAGCTGCTTTGGCCAAAGCCCCCGAGTGGCAATTAAATTTAATTTAAGGCGACATTCGACTGCAGTTGCATTTGTCTTCCGCCGACGACAGTCACTCTATTTGGGGCTCTGAATAAATGATGATGATTCCGAAATCCCCATTAGATCGAATGGGGGGCTATTTTCGATGACACCGATTAGCCTATTGGCCGAGAGTGGAGATCTCTTTGGCTTTAACCCTTTGCTGGGCGCGTGTCTGGGAATGCGACCAGAGATCGTAATGGGAATCGGAATGGGAATTGGAAATGGAATTGGTATAGGATAGGAATCAGAATCAGAATCAGAATCAGACATAGACTCTCCGTATCTCTCCGTGCTTTCTATTTTTGGTTCGCTCGCGAAAAGCTGAAAAAGCTAAAGAGCCGATCGGTGGATCTTTCCACGGCCACGATTCTCCTTGGCTCTTTCAGTAGAAATCCGTTGGCCGCGCAAATCACACGGATCTCAGGCGGGCGGTCAAAGATACAGATACAGATACAGATACAGATACAGATACAGATAAAGATACAGATACAGATACGGCTCCTGACAGATACAAAGAGAGAGAGAGGGAAAGAGAGAACAATAAAAGACACACTCCACACATCAGTTGGGATTCGCGCAAAAATTGATGGTTAAAATAAATAAATAAATGATTTTCTCGGTTCCACACATGGCAAAGTGCAGTGCGCCTTGAATCGCGTCAATTCCTGTGTCCGTTCCGTAATCCCAAAAAATGCTCGATCCCAAGACACACATTTTTTTGCACCAATTTTGTTTTATTTCGAAAATAACCTGCTGCTCTGCCAGATGAAAACTCATTAATTTTCCGAAATGAACGCGAAATTCGATGTGCTGTGCTGTCTGTAATTTTAAACGCATTTCTTGCGCCTGTTTTGACATTGAAATGAAACAACCAATAACAATTGGATAATTAAAAAGGAGAAAAACACGCACACACCTGCAGAAATAGAATATCTATCTATCGATCTAGAAGAAACTAACTCAGGGAGCTCTGGAAACTCAGGAAACTCGGTTAACTCACATACTCAGATACTTAGATACTCAGAGAGAAAGACGTAAAGATGACCACGCGTGGGATTCGACGTAAGAAGTCCACGCTCACGGAGTTGAAGATCGCCGTAATTGGGGCGCCCAGCGTTGGCAAGAGTGGTAAGATATCTCCACAGATATCGGTGGACGGAGATATATATACTCAGTAGCCTTTGCTAGCCACCAGTAAGTGCCATGGCGGCGGCAGCAGACCCATCCGATAGATACTTGTGGCATGGATGCCGAGCAACAACAGCAAATTAGTTGAGCAATCGCCGATTCGTGTATATTTAGACTCTGTTGTTTGTTTTGTTTATAAAGTGGCAGCAGCATACACACAGATACACACACGCACACGCAGATACAAAGAGCGAGAGATGCACAGACAGAGTGCTGGCACTTTGGCATTGCCTGCCCGCCGCTTTAATCGCTTTTCCACCGCCTTTTCCTTCGATTTGACAAGCGGCTCCTCTGGCCAAAAAGACCAGGCCATGCTCTAATTTATGATGGGCCATGAGCACATCGCACACACACACACACACGGGGTTGTACACTGAAAACCATAAACAGATTACTTCGAGTTGCCTAAATTAAGGGAAAAAAATAGAGCATTATTGAAAATATAAGGTCAATCAAATAAAACTTTTAACTTTGATAAGGGGGAAAATATTAATTAGAATACCTTTGCTTCACATTTCCTAAATTAATTAAACATTTTCATGTATTAAATGTTATTTAATTTGTTTGCTTTCCGGCTTAAAATTGATTTAAGGTGTTTATACTTTTATAGTCAAAAATATTACGTATACGCACAGGTGACATTATACCCTTGCAGAGTATTAAAATTTCAGTCAGTGGCTTAAAACGCAGGGAAGAAATCATTTCCGACCCTATAAACCATGTATATTCTTGATCAGCATCAATTATCGAATCTTTCTAGACATATAGGAAAGATAAAAAATTGATAATTTTTTTTCAAAATTTTAGACCAGGTTTTTACAAAGTTCACATTCTGAAAAATTGACAAAAATTGTAATATATTAAAAATGTAATTTAGGTATGCAGATTTATTAACCTATTAAAAACTAGTACAAAACAGCTTTCCGAATCGAAATTAATGCTGTTTTGGCTTAGTTATGAGTTTTTTAATCTGTGGGTTATAGAAAAATCGTCATATAAAGATCGACCTATATTTATACCTTTGCAGGGTATTATTCTTTCAGTCAGGATCATGAAACGCAGTGAAGGAGTCATTTCCGACACTATATATCATATATATTCTTGATCAGCATCAACACGCGAATCTTTCTAGACATATAGGAAAGAAAAAAAAAACTTGAAAAATTTTTTCAAAATTTTAGACCAGGTTTTTACAAAGTTAACATTCTGAAAAATTGACAAAAATGTTAAAATTTTTAAAATTAAATTTAGGTATGTAGGATTGTTACCCCAATAAAAACTAACACTGAACTGCTTTCCGAATTAAAATTAATGCTCTTTTGGCCTAGTTATGAGATTTTTTGTCATAGAAAGATATCGAAAATATCCTATGACTTAATTCCGAGCTCCAAGTATCCAAGTATATAGCATAATTTATACTTGGACTTCCCAAAGACCTTTCCCTTTCTTGTTTAATTTATTAGACTTGTCTTTCGTACTAGAATTAGAATTTATTTCTGATTATTAAACATTTTTAGAGCTCACAACCTTATTCGTCTTGCAACGCTTATTATAACTTTCAAAAAATTCTCCATAATCTAGACATATTTTTCTCAGTGCACCTATCACATATAAGTAGCTACTCAGTGGGGATCAGGGATCATGGATCATTGCCGTGGCAGAGAAGTTGCATATTTCTTTGGTGCGGGCGACTTAGTACAAATTGATGTTCCCTGTCAGACATCACGTACAACCCGGGAAGCCCCGAAATAATTTTAATTTGTAACATTTTGTTTTCGGGGCCCCATAATGACGATGCCTCTCTGACTTTAGCTGGGAGAATTTATACTCTGTCAACTTCGGGTTACACCTGCGTCCTATATGTCGGCGGTCAACGAATAATTTTGAATGCAAAATAAAAAAAATGAACTTTCGAATGAAATATGACTAGAAAATATGCTCCACTAATAAATATAAAAATGTAGAGATAAAAGTCGGGGAAAAATGTTTGCACAGAATGCAGGAAAGTTGGAAAACAGGGCGAGGCTTTTTTGTGGAAAACGAATGAGCTATGTCTAGCTGGGATAATGGATGAGGTTGATTTTCAAGCTCTTTTATAAATTAATAGAAATGAGAAAAAAGTAAATAAAAGTTTTAAACAATTCGAACGAAAATGGGATAAAAATGGAAAGGCCTAAAATAAACTCTTAGGTATAAAAGTGTACCCAAAGATTGGCTTTAATTATTAGCATATTGTCCGAAAAATTAAAAATTCTATATTAGTATAACCAACAATAAATGGAATTTATTCCAATAGAGACCACAAAACACATAATGACAAATGCGCATATATGTTTAATAAATTTATTGCTACATATTTTAATGTCATTCAGCCGGCACTCTCTGGCCAAAATATTTTTGTGCCTGCGCCTGTGGCAATTAAACCGCCCACAACTAGATATACACACGTCCACGCCCACCACAGCCCACCGTCCGGCGGAATTAAAGAATCTGCTGGCCATAGACACGATCAGGCGGAGAAGACGCCATCGTCGCCGCCGTCGTCGTGCGTCGAAATATTTAAACGTTGACCTCGTGGCGAAATAAAAAAGAAAGGAAGAAAAGTTCGGAAAACATAAATTTAAAAAAGTGAGAGAAAAAGCACGGGACCGGCATGAATGCGGTGTTGGGAAAATAAATTATGAAAATGTCGTTAAAAAGTCGCGAGGCAACCAAGGCAACGGGCCACACACAGAAAAGGAATGAAACATGCAAACAAATACAGGCTTTATTGATTAAGCTGGATTTTGGCAAAGAAAAACTTAAGTTAATTGGGAATTATAAATAGGGATTGTAAAATTAAAAATATAATATAAATATTAGAAACTTTTTAGTCAATGAAGCTTATTTTCGAAAGGTTAAGGAGCTTACTTTGCATGTAATTATTTAATATATTTCTCCCAGCTAAAGCCTTTATTTTGAATTTATTTGCTAGTACAAATTAAAAACTCTTTAAAAGAAAACGCTTTATGTTAATTTTAGGGGTGTAACTCACACAAGTTGAAGCATTAGATACTCGTCTGTTTGACATAGTCATTGTCATTCTTGGTTGAAGTGGCGCCTGAGGTTTCGGTTCCCAACGTTGTTCCTGTCGCTCCTGCTGCTGTTGTTATTGTTGCTACTGCTGCGGGTTCAAAGCACTTGCATAGGAAATGACCACCGGCTAAGGACACTCGCACACACACACACACACACACACACACACACACACACCCCGTTCCTTGGCAGGACTTGAGGCCTACGAAGGACAGCGGTGTTTGTTAGCCCGCGACACGCAACTTTAGGGCTCAGCCGTGGAGGGTTTATTAACCCCACAAGGCGCATTTTCCACCTGCCCCGGTGCGAGGTGCTTGGTGCTTGGTGCTTGCTGCAAGGGGTTTTCTTTGGTTGCTTTTCCAGCCTGCCGCTGCTTCACGCTCGCTTAAGTGCTGACCCAAATCCAGGACATGAGCTGGGAGGGTTGGTTGCTGTTTAGGAGGGCGGTGCCCCTGGTTTACACCTGATCTCGCTGATAGCGGAAGCAGCTATAAATTAAATTCATGTTACGTAAATGGTTTTTTTTCTTTTTGTTTAATTTAAATTAATTGCAGCCCTAATCGTTCGTTTCTTGACAAAGCGTTACATCGGCGAGTACGATCATCAGACAGAGAATCGATACAAACACGAGGCGATGGTGGATGGTGAGCCGGTTCTGTTTGAAATACTGGATACCTGTCCCAAGGTTGCTAATGAAGTCTATTTTCTCTTACCTTTTTTCTATAATATTTTTTGTATAAATTATTTAATGTTGCTCCAGGCCGAAGACGAATACCCCAATGCCTCGGAACTCGTCCAATGGGCCGATGGCCTGCTCTTGGTCTACTCCATCACAGATCGCAAGAGTTTCAACTATATACGCCGTGCTAAATCCGATCTACAGTCCGACACACCTGTCCAGCTTTGTGCCAACAAAGTGGATATGGTGCACCTGCGTCAGGTGAGCCGCGACGAGGGCGAAATCCTGGCCAAGGACTTTGAGTGCAAATTCAGTGAGGTCTCTGCCGCCGATCATGTGGACCAGGTGGCCGAGGTCTTCAATGAGCTGTGCAAGGAAGTGCTGGCCTCCAAGAGGAAGTCCAAGCAGAGCCTGCTGGAAAGGATGCTGGGCGGAGCACGTCCCTATAGTCGGGGGAAGAGCGATAGTAATTTGCCAAAAGACTGATAGAGAGATGGTTGGTGAAATCTTAATGTAAATAAATGTACATTTTTTATTAAAACGATCTTAAGGGTGCAAAGTTTTAAATTAATTTTAACATTATGAATTCATAAACATAAATCCAACTAAACTGCAATTTAAAACCTGTTTAGATCCTAGTGCTGTGTTTGGCTTCGTAAGCCACACTTAGCAGGTCAAACCGATCTTGGGTCAGCTCAAGATCATCGATTTCGGCCACATTTCCGTACTGCTTTCCTTTATACTTTTTCTGAATGCCCTGAAGCTTAAGTCCTTTGGCTGATCTATGGTTGCTGGACAGTGCCAGAACCACAGTTCTTAGGTCCTTTAACTTGTATGTGGTGATCTGCTCTAGCTGGGGAGACCAAATCTCCATGCCCAGGATGTGACGAGCCAAGGCGAGGGCCGCAGAGGATATCATTGAAGGCAAATAGAGCAGGAAGGGATCCCCCTTCAGTAGAGATAGCTCGGAAATGTACTAGGAATAGCAAACAGGATAAACTATAGAAAATATTAGATTTTGCTGTTCCTACCATTGCCAAACTCTTTAAAGTCTCACACATTTCATCGCACATCACCGCATACATCTTCACAAAGGCATAGGCAGTTGGGGTCACAAGATTAAAGGAGAGTATCTTCAGCATGAATCGCTCCATGTTAAGTATCTCCTCCCTGGTATAACTGTCGTCAGTGATGTAGATTAACTCTTCGACCTGCGGCGGGGTCATCTCTTCAAACTTGCAGGCTATAAACAAGGCCGTTGTGCCCACCAACTGCAGCACGGAGCGCTTCACAGCCACCTGGCTGAGGAAGCGATCGATGAAGGAAATGCAGAGGTAGAGCGTCTCTGAGTTCATTTCATAGTCCACAGTCACCTCAACAAGCCAGTCAATCAGGACGGAGCGCATCTTGTGACAGATGTCCTTCTGGCGGACCATATAGAGAGGCTGTGGACGATTTTTCAATTCGCCCACGCGACAATTGACTAGGATGTCCTTCTGATAGTGGACCTCATCGTAGGCAGAAGACACTCTGGTAGCTTTTTTCTGGATAACCTTTTGGGAAATTACGTACGTAAATTAAGGAAATATCCAATAACAATCTCAAAGAATATTAATTTAATGATTTAACTATGGAAATTCCCTATAATCTGAATGAAAATAAATATTTGCGTATACAAATATTATAAAAACAATATATATAATCTATAATAATTAAGAAACTCACCTGGGAACTAAATACTTCTGTAGATGACCGGTCCACGGACATGGGAATGCTATCTATCTCATCCTGGGGAAGGGATATAGACTCGAGCTGCTCGATCACTGGCAGCAGCTCGTTCGATTTCTTAGCTGCGAATTTGTGGATTTCTACCAATTCGCCGAAGGGTTTAGCATTGTTCTTTTGGTTGATCTTATTGGTGTTAAGCAAGCCTAGAGGTTGCTTTGTATTTTTGCCTCTGGTCAGCACATTGACAGTGGAGTTCTCCTTGTTGTTGTCCTTATCCTCGTAGATCTGAAAGTGTGCCATCGTTGTTTCTTTATTTTCTTTAATATCAATATATATATAGATATACGAAATTGGAGCTGATTTCCGTTTGAGATTCGTTCACAGAATGAAATATATGATATGTGAGAAATGCAAGATAGCTGAAAGTGGAAGGAAAATTTTTGCCTACTTGGATCCTAAATTCATTAAAGGTTTCATTGAAAGAATGTTTTTATAATTTAAGTTCTAATATGGATAAAATATATTATATATTTTCCTTATTTTATCCAAAGCTAAAAGCGGCATTTCGCTGCATTCAGCTTTTGCCAGTTCTCAAATTATATTGAAAAAGCTTTCTGAACATTTCAGAGGTTTATTTAGTGGCGCCACCAAATATCGCATATTCAAGCTTTACCTTAGCGTCACTGAACATTATAGTTTCTCGATTCTGAACGTGTAAAATATGTTTAATTATGGAGCCACTAAATAACCGTTAAAACCTCATCTTTATCTTAAAATCTTTCAGATTTTAAGTATTTTATAATCAATTTCTAAATATAGATTATTATTAAACTTGTCATGGAAACAGAAGCAAAATGAATATTTTTATGAAACGAATTTTGTTTTTCAATATTGAATATAAATATTATACTATTATACAATCTCAATTAGTTGTATTTTATTGTCACACTTATGTTACCTTACTATGTATACATATAAAATTAACTAAACAACCCTAATATTAGACAACAAAGTATAAGGTCACTTCAAGAGTGATTCCCGATCTGAAAAGTGTGACCTTTGGTATTCCTCCCGAACTCTGGACAAACTTCCGCTTGGAGAGCGCGTGTGCACGACTTTTAATTAGCCAAAGTCAACAAGTGGGCCAAGTGAGGCGTGTAAATCTACTTAAGACTTTCGGCTCCAGACTCCCGCAAGTACTGCACTGTGAAAAATGCAAGAATTCATAATTTAATATTTAAATTCTATGACACTGCAGCATTATCGCATTTCAAAATCATTTGGTAACATTGATATTTTAAATTGAAAACAACTTTTCATCATAAGAAATGGATTTATCTTTATTTTAAACTTACTTTCAATACTGATCTAACTGGAGTCGTTTATAATAAACCCCGAGTCTTTCTCCAAGTGCTGCCCCAATGTGGACGACAAACTGGGAAATCAGCTCACGGCACATCCATTGTTGACATTGCGTCAGCTCTCTTTCTGGCTTTCCGACCGATCCCGATCTGTTTGCTCAGCTAAAACCATAATATTGACTCTGAACAGACGACTATTATGAATGGGAACACCAATGATGATGCGCAGAATCGAAGATCCAAAATCAACGAAATGTCGACTATCGCGTGCCGATATTTGCAATAATTATCGCGCATGCGCCCCGGTTGCCGATCAAGTCCAAGACCAAGATCGAGAGACCACAGCACCTGGCTGGAAACGCAGACAGGGCGGCTGGCCTGGCCTGGCAACTGCTAATGGGAAATCATATGCACGATTTTCTTGCAATTGTTTAATAACATTGACGGCTTACGGCATGAAATCTCACAGGTTTTCTCCACCTACTTTTAAGTACTTATTAACTCTGTGTATTTTTTGCCTGCTGTCTTTTTTTTTATTATTCTTGCCTAATTAGTTTCGCATTTAAAATTCTAATTTTAATTTATGATCGAAAGTGGTCTTGGTATCTGGGGCCCTTGGCTACCGGCTGGAGCAGCAGCACTTATATCTGGGCCAGGTGTCGTATATCCCCACATCTTGATATTCTGTACTAAAGTTGTTTGAACTGTTTAGCAATCGTGCAGCTGGCCTCGTAATTGTCTGGCCAATTGGTGCTGTAATAGTCTTTAATTATGGACCTGTGACATTTGGATTTAGAAAATAGAGCATTTTGCATCAGAGAAATACACTCTTTCCTTGGGGAATTCAAATCACAAGGAACAATATTTGGAGGAAACCCCTAATTAATTGTAATACAACTTATATGCCATGATAAAAATGTCTAATATTATGAATAGTATTTAATCTATAAATATCACACTTGCTTACATCTCTCGCACGCCCCTAAATATTCATGAGACCAGCTGTGGGCACGGACATGCAAATCACCGTCTAACTAACTGAATGACTGCCTTTATGTTAGGGGTTGGAAACCCGTTTATAGTCTAATTAGCCTGACGATTATAAATGCTCGATCATTTAAATTAGAACCAGCGGCCAACAACAGGTGCGCGCCTCGGGCCAAGAACCCACATAGTGTGCAGCGGTCCGGCTAACGGTTTGGCTGCAAGGTAAGATTAGCACCTCCTTCACCTTTGCTGCAAAGATACTAAACGAAAATCGAAAATCTGCTAAAAGACAAAAAACAGAAAACCGCGATTAATTGGCACGAAATGGCGGCGGTCTAACAGAATTTGGCCATGCCAGCCGCCAAGCCTGTAAGTCATTGACTTTGATATTCGATTGTTGGCCAAAGCCAAATCCCAAATACCAACTGCTAATGGCCGTGTGTAGTGTAGACTTGTTCTAGTTAATTCCTTTGGCTGCTACTGTCAAAGCCAAGCTCCAGCTAACCTTGGCTTTTGGATTTGTTTTGTTTTTTGGCTTTTTATGCGACTTTAATTAGCCAAATCTGAAATGTTGCGGCGGCTGTAAATGAAACGTGTTTCGCTCGCCACCGACACCGGCACCGCCACCTCGCCTTTATTCTTGTTTTTATTATTTTCTTCTCGTTTCGCTGTGCAAGAAACTTAAACAATTAATGAAAAGTGTTTAATTGCAAAGTGCATTGGGCTTCCGGCAATTACCTGGTCGTCGTCGGTTCAACAAACCCAAACCCCCAGCATTTCCTGCAACCCTAACCCATTTGCTCAGTGACCTTGACAGAAGACCAGGCCGTAGTCGTACTCGTAGTCGTAGTCGTAGCCGTAGAGAACCTTATGGACAGCACGGCGGCACGTAGTCCATGTCCATGCCTTCCCACATGGCTCACTTGGACGGCGGGCCTTTACCATAAACCTGACCCAAATCGGCTTGAACAAAAGCCGAGTAAAGTTGATAAATGCCCAGCCTTAGCTTTGAATTTATTCTTTAAATATTAACTAATGGCCATCTATAATGGAGATATATCGAGATATATGAGCAAGTGTCATTAAGTGGACTCGTACCAAGTGATAATTGGGTATATCGGGGGTGGCAATGGTTCAAACTAGGAACTTGTATGGGGATTTTATTATTATCTCTAAAATAAATATCCGAAAAGGATAAAGGATTATAAATAGTCTTGGATTTATAAATATTTACTCGAGTTAAAAATCTTTTTTAAAGCTCAATTCTATTTCTAAAAAATAAATAAATATCAAAGATATAAATATTAAGATTGAACTACTGAACACTAGTTTAACTTATACTAATGATTATTATTAACTCATCTGAAGCTTAAATCCTTTATAATTACTTCATATTCATCCCAAAAGTTTAAAACTCAAACTGAGTCTGAGCTAAAGTACATTTTGAACTAGAAGAATCTGTATTTGAAGACTGAATGTTATAATTTCCTCTTCTAAATGAGCATTTATTCCAGAACACCTGCAAAACCCACTAGTCCCACCGCCAATCTAAATCAATAATTAGCTAATATATCTCACATAAATTCTATTAAAATTAATTTTGCCCCTTGGAGGAGGGAATTCCCGAGACTACTTAGCTGGTATTCATATAGTATGAGGGCAACACACCTGCGCGAGGGCATTCTAGCTTCGATACATCTGTCCCTTAACGTTCCGATTTCATATTAATATCATTATAATTGTACGACGTCGTGGGCGTTCCCACAGTCCAGTCCCCAGACCTCATCCCTCGATATTGCCCACATTTGATCGCTAATTGCCGATCGCTGCTGTTGCCGTGCTGGTATTCGAAACTATTAGCACATTCGATTCCAATTCACACGGCCAATTATTATATCACAATAAAGTCCGAGTCGGACTCGTACTCGTGTAATTGGCATATGATAAATCCGCTCAGGTGTTATTTATTTATCAGATTTATATGCTGAGGTAGGTCATGTTTATAAACAGCTGTCGCTTTTCATTTAAATACCCCGCCTGTCGGCTAAATATTAATCAAAAACTCCCAAACGACGAGAAATCCAAATCAAAAATCAAAAGTATGTAGTAAGAAAAGAAAAGTTCTACGATAGTAATTACACAGCTCGTGTGTGCTCATGTGTAATTAAGACTAATTACCAGAGCTGGCTAATTAAAATAAATTGGCATAGGTTGAGAATAGAATTAAATATATTGCCATTAGAGGCCCCTTTCCAATTGTTAATCATGACTACAGGATCTCTGGCCATTCAAGGTGTGCAAAAAAACTTCTCACTGCCCCTCCCAGAAATGTAGTTCTTTGGTTTAAACGATTCCAACTTTATTTATAGACAGACAAATATATATATAGTTCTTTGATATCTGCACTCTGGGTGCTATGGTTGCCATAAAATTTCAATTCTTTTGTATTTTATTTAATTGCAATTGTCGAGTTTCTTTGTTTTTCAGAAGCAACGAAGCATCGGCCTGGGGACCAACTGCTTTTAAACCTATAATATATATATTTATACATATATATATATATTGATTTATGGGCGATTACGATTAGTTATAGTTTGGTTAATTGCTTGCAGAAATGTTAACACTTGGTCGGCTTTCGATTTAAATTGCAACTACATCGAACATTAATAACAACAATAAATTGTACGCTATTTTAAACTTGAAATATGTAATATTCTTGATCCCAATGTGTATATATTTTGATTTGAATTACTTTTAGTTGTATATATTTTGGTCCAAGGTTAAATAACTTTGAAATCTATATATATTATTTATGGATATTTAATATGTTTTAAAAGAAGCTTTTGTTTTTGTTTTAACTTCATTTGATTTAATATATTTCCTTCTATGAATAATGTTCATTGTCCATTATTATTCATTTCAATTCCTTTCTTACCCTTTTTTTCTCGCTTTCATTGTTGTGAGTAAATATTTTTTGAGTGTTGAAATGTTATTCCCTAAACAGAATCAGACTTTAGAGTTGCCAATTTTGAAGCATAAAATAATAATAAACCAAAGAAGTAATTATTTTTCAATTGCATTTTGTAATTTTATTAATACACAAAACTTAAATCAAATAATAATGTTTAAACTCTACATACCTACAATACAATACGTAATAGTCATAAGCATAATAATAAGATAATAATAATAATAATAGTACACAATAGTAATATTGTCGTTTACAGTTATTGTACAATGTAAGAAAATTCTATGTTTGTTCTCCGTTTCACATTTTCGATCGCTTTTCTTGTGTGATTTGAAAGTTCTCAATACCGGGCAATACTATATCGCGTGTCTATATAGTCTAGGTAAAGAATATAGAAGATGATGATAATAATACAAAAACATGTTGTGTTGTGCTGTGCTGTGTTGTGTTGTGTGCGTGTAGTGGGTCTGAGTATACAAGCGGTTTGTGTGTAAATATAGTACTATTGGATGTATCTGAACTTTGCATTCTCAGCTCTCACTAATTCGCTTTGCTTGGCTTTGTTTTCACATCACTTAAAAGTCTAACGATTTTTTGGTCCAATAATAGTTGCGGTGATAAATATGCGGATGTTCTTAGGATTGGAATTTGTTTCGGGGAGAGGGATCGATCAGGATGGTCAACAAAATAAATATGCAGGCAAATAGAACTTCAGATGACAAATTAAATACAAAATAAAACAAAAAACAAAAACAGTAAATAATAAGGGGAAATCATAAAATGTACGAGGGATTGTGCGGTATGTCAATTTAAAATTAATTTGTATAAATGAGACCGTTGCACCTGTATGTGTGGTTTGAGGGTTTGGGTTAGGGCTTGGGCTAGGGCTGCTCTTGGTATAATCTGCTCCACATGACCACCACCGCCTTAGAAGGGTCGCTTCAGCTTGTGAATGGCATTGGTCAGGTGCAGGATCTCCGTGTTCATCTGGTGCACCAGCGTCTCCAGCTTGTCCACCGAGTCCAGCACCTCGACGCGCTCGGTGTGTGGGTTGAAGCGCACCTCGAAGGGGCGGGACATCGTGCTGACCCAGCGACGGAACTTGTCCTTGGCATCCTCGAAGCTCTCGGCCACATAGTAGATGGGCTGGTACTCCTGGTCCTGGTAGGGCTGCACGGCCGTCGAGGCGGGCTCGAAGGCGCGATGCTCGCACTTGTCGCTGATGGCATGCAGGAGCTCGCCGTAGGAGCTCAGCAGTCCGGCGCCATAGGCCTTGATCTGACCATGCTCCTTGCAGAGACCGAACTCAACAGTGAACCAGTAGACCTGGAAATTCAAGGAATATAAAGGAAAATCGAATAAGTAAAAGGAAGCTTAATGAAGCTAAAGAGCTCAAAGGTACTTAAAGCCTTTAAATGTAGTTCATTTTCATACAAATATCTCAATGACTGTGACTCTGTGACTTTGACAGTGACTAAAAACAATGATCTTGGCTGGGAAAAATGCGATAAAACCCGCTTGTCATACTTCTACACTTGACTCTAAGGTCGCTCTGGCAACTCAATTAGAAACAACACAAAAAATCCAAATAATAATAGTAATATAAACTAAACTCACCGTGGACAGCTTCTCGATTTCTTCGTCGGAGGCACCCAGCGAGGCCAGGCCAATCTCCTGCGAGAACTGGGCGAAGCTGGGATCGGCCAGCAGGGGCATGTGACCGAGGAGCTCGTGGATGGAGTCACTGTAAGCAAATCACAATAATAATGGCTTGTTAAAAGTGTGGAAAATGCCAGAGCATAAAGCAATTATCAGGGACAAATGAGACTTGGCCGGAGTCAGTTCCTGCAGCAGCCAATTTGCTGCTGCTGGGAAAAGTTGGCCCAGGGAAAAGCGGAAAAGGAAACCGAGGCAGGCAAATGCAATTAGGCTTCATGAACAAAGGACTCTTTCCTTTTCTTTTCCCCCTTTGAAGTGGAACCGGAAAGTGTTTATATATATTTGTATGTGTATTGAAAGCATAAGTTACTTACGGCTCGGGGGTGTGATAGGGCGAGTTGACGTGACGCACATACTGGGTGCTCTGGAAGATGCGGAAGGCCAGCGAGGCGAGGAAGTCCCTGGCTGTCAGCAGACCAGCAGCAGGACGCAGCGAGAAGCCGGTGTTCTTCCTCAGGAAATCAGACATCTCCTGCAGCTGGGGCAGGCGGTGATCCACAAAGATCTGCTCGTCCTGGAGCTTCTGGAAGGCGGCCCGGTACTCGGCACAGGCATGCTTCGGGGCCAAATCCTGGACGGTCTTGAACACCGAGCGCCAGGTCTTGACCTCCACATCGGTGTAGGCAATGTAGGGGATCGGATCTCCGTACTTGTAGGCGAAGGCAATCTCGGCAATCTCCTTGCGGCGCTGACGGTACACCTTGTCGGCGAATCCCGGGTGGTTCATATCCAAATCGGGCTCGTACTTGGTCATCAGATGGTTGCAGTTGTCCAGCTCGGAGGCATGCTTGGGGAACCACGGGGCCTTCACCGAGATGTTGTTCTCGGCCAGCAGATTCATGCTGCTGAAGGAGCCCGACTGCCTGAGGGAACGGATCAACTGGAGGAGATTGCCACGGGTCATGTCCAGCTTGATGAGGACATCGTGGCCCACGCCCTCGACACGCGACTGCCGGGACTCCACATGCTGCACCTGGCCGTGGAAGGTCTCAATGGCCTTGAGGATGCGGCCCAGCGAGGAGATGCCCTCCTTGAGGCGCACCACCAGAGCGGCGCTCTGCATGGCAGCCTCGGCTTCCGGCGATGAGCAGGCGGCATTGGCCAGCAAAATCTCGTCCTCGGTGAGGCCGTAATCTGGGGAAAGGGAGGAGAAATAAAAGGGAGCTGGTAAAGTAAGATGCAATCATCACGGGCTTAGGGTCACGTAAGCGATAAGCGGGCTACGTGGGCGGCTGACTGGGACTCGGTTGCCAGGCAAACGCATTTCCAGCCAAGTCGAGCGTAACAAATGAAAAAGGGAAATGCGACATTTCAACGGTTGACTGTTGAGTGCTTTCCCGCTGCCTTCTGTCCTTCTGCCTTCTGGCACTTTATCATATTAAGCACTTAAATCAATGTCGCACGCTTTTCAAAAGCCCCTCAGCCTAAGTACTACTTATGGTCCTCCCCTTACCGTTCTTGGCTGGCTCTTCGCCGGCTTCCTGGCCCTGAGACTGCTCCTGCTGGTGCGACTGCTCCGGTTCAATCTCCACATCCTCCTCAACTAAGAACGCCACAAATAAAAAGAAAAGAAAATAATAAGGCCCATGAAAATCATAATCGTAATCAAATCAAAGATAATAGGCTCAGAAAGGAAGGAGGGTATAAAAAAAAGAAAAGTGTGGAATATAAGGAAATCATATTGAAATAAATATTAACCTGGGACATATTCGTTCTCCAATGGCAGATTCTCCAGATTGGGCTGCTCGTCCTGCAGCTCCACATTCTGCTCGGCGGGAATGTGCTCCTCAGCCTGCAGAATGCATTCCTCCAAAGACTCGTCTATAAAGTTAAATAATAAATAAAAATGTAAATAAAAATAACAACTAAAATGTATAAATAACAATAAGAAATCAGTGGGTTAGGTAAAACATATCAAAAAAACTCAGGAAATACAAATTATTACTTGATCAAAATAATGCAAAATATAAGGGGAATTAAAGTAATATTATTTTAACGACCACTTGTTGAAGTTATTAATAATGAAAGCTAATAAGAAATCGTAAAATAAACACCTAATTTAAAGTCTATTTGAAGTATTCTTTTTAAACACTTTAGTCAATATTAAATCTCCCAATGTAAACCCAATTTAAACCCACTTAAATCCCATTTTCACAGCCACTTGTTGGTATCTTAAAATGTACTTACCATTGGCCTTATTGCGGGCCTCCTCGAGGACGGTTTGTTTGGTCTGCTTGACCACCAGGGTCTCGAAGCGGGCATCGTCCACCAGGCTGCGGCGCCGGGATGGATAGCCATTCTGCAAGAGACAGGGAAAGATATCCGTTTTAGTGACATGCCAGGATATGCAACGGAAATTGGACTCGCACTGGGGTTTGCCTTGACCTTCAGGCCTCGCTGGCTTTGCAAACTCACTCCGGCAGAGTGTTTTAATCAAAAATATATATAGATATATATTGCGCAATTATCGGTCGGGAGCTTATGTAAAATGTGTGCGCGTGAAAGCGTCTCAAAATTTCAGATCTTTTCTTTCAGTTTCTTGAATAGACCTCGCCGCCATTCATGCATTGTGATTCAAAGCTGGGACTTTGGGATGTTAATTTAATGCGATGTCACCGCGACAAGGCGAAGACATATCTTGGTTATGGCTCTGTAGCTGTAAGCCAACGAAAATCCCCATGCGATTCTCGGGGAAAAATGCAACAGGCAACTGTTTACATTTTTGTTTTTTGTTTTTTTGGAGGCCGAAGAAGGTTTCCCTCAGTTGCAGTTTTCACTGTCGGCGGCTGGGATTTTGGTTTTGTTTGTTTTTCGGTGGGCTTTTTTTTTGGGCCAGCCAAAAGGCTGATGAAAGATGCCCCACTCATTGAATCATTTTTTATTGATTTCATATTTTGTTTTGGTCGCCAGCAGCATAAACATAAACAGCAAGCGGAGTCAACAATGAGGCGCGACTGTTTCGGCCAGGCTAAGTGCAGGGGCAAAAAGGCAGCCACTTTCACTTATTTGTTAAATAATAACTTAAGACTCCGACTCGGACTGGGACTCGGTGTTGGAGGCTGTTGTTCGAGCCGTTCTTAGAGGTGTGAAGTTGGCCAACACACATAACGGATAATTAGCCAATTGGCCAAACTGAATTGGCAATAAAGAAATGCGGGATCTCCTAAAGAGTGGGCCTACTTCAACAGGTTTTGTCAACGAAAACCGACAAAACCTTTGGCCAGTCACGTAGACCAACTCACTTTTGGTTAGGTTTTTGAAATTTTTGAATCTTTTTCGTTTCGAATTTTGTAATTTGATTTGAAAAACTCACCTCAATACTGTAGGATTTCTTGATGGCGAACATCTCGCGGTTCTTCTGGGCAGCTGCAACGGCCATCATTTTGTTTTGTGTGTGTTTTTTAGGGGTTTTGTGTTGGGTTAACAAAAATTTACGCAAAGTGTTGCCGAAAAACACTTAGAATACTATTTGCTTTGGGTGCTTGGATTGCGCTTCTCTCGTTTACTTTTGACAAATAAGCACTCGAAATGTGTTGACACTTTCACTGCTTATTGGCAAGAAATATCGGCGCTCCTGGACTGGAATACTGTTTGCGTCTAGAATTGAGCTGGACAAGAATTCTCGAATTCCGGCGGGTAGATTCACGATTTTAACTGGTTGTCTGGGGGATCCTTTTCGCGAAACTCGAAAACTGTGATTTATTTGTTATTATCCTTGTCAGCAAAATTGTATTACAACAAACAGAGAGTCAGCAAACTACTTGAGGCTGGAGGGGCGCACAAGTCTTTAGAGCGAATGATAGCGAATCAATGCATGCTCCAGGTCGAGTTGCCGCCGCTTAAATACCCCGAAACGAACCTGGCCCAAAGCCCCCCAGCCGACCCGATCCGAGCTCTGGCTTCGGCTTTGGCATCGGCTTTGCTTTTGGCCCACGACGATGACTGGTTTTCGCATGACGCGGCTGTGACGTAGTTGCCCAGCTGGGAGCGGGTTCTGCCAACGATGCCATGATGCCGTGGGGTTTCCTTTCCTCTCACCAGACCAAAGCCAAAGCCAAAGCCTCAGCCTCAGCCTCAGCAGTGGGTTAAGTCCGAGAATCGACCAAGTTCAAGTGCGGGCTAGAACGTCGGCTCTTGGCTAACAGGCGGGGTTAACCATTAGCGCGTGCGCGCGTCAGTCGGAATGGGTAGAATACCCAAAACATTTGGAATTCGTTCAGAGCGTCATAAGAAAAGCCTCGGCAGCGGGTCATTTGACAAAGAAAAACAAAATAAAGAAGAAAAAAAACCAAAACAAAGCCAACCAAATCATGGTTCAAATAATAGAAACAGGCCAAATGTTAAGCATACGCCATGTGCACCGACAAAATTGATACACAAATGACAGAGCCTAAATAATTGAGATAATTTTTTTTTAAATTAAAGCAGAACATCTAAATTATATGTATTAGTTTCCTAAACTGTATAAATATAATTTTTTTTTTAAATATTTTAATAATATCTTACAAAAACATGGAAAGCGGAACTTGATAGCTTTTAAACTTTATAAAAGACATAATTTGCAGTACATTTGATGAACTTTTAATTAATTGTACTTATTATTTTTTAAATATTCATTATCTTTATAATTATTTACATTCTCCCAGTGCCTTTTAACAGTCAAAGAACTTTTCGAAACAAAACCAGAACATTGCGAAGAACAAACTACCCTAGATCCTGAATGACTCAACTAATATTCCCCCTCAGAGAACTAGAGCGGATGCAAATGCGGATCACATATAGGGACAAAGTGAAAGTCAGACGATAAACAAAACCCATTGGGTAAACAGGAAGTGACCAAACGATCACATGTGTTTATAATAAAATATATGCTTGCTAATGTGCGTGCGAGAGAGTAGGAGGCAGCCAGCTCCATATCAATTATATTTCTTAAAAGCACATTTAACAACTAATTTGCATGAGTAAATGAAGCACATTAAACTAAGTCGGCGATAATAAGTACGGTCGATATCAAAAGTAATGTCTACGGAATAATTGAAAGCCGCGTCTAAAACACATCTGGCGAACGGAATTTGCATTTAGACTGCAGCTGAGGGATTACGAGATCGGGTTACGGTGGCACTTAGGGGAATGCAAATCTTCAATAACAAATATCTTTGCCCATAGTACCAATATATATCAAAAAGAACCATATCAATAAATTATAAAAATAACATAAATACACACTTATATAGGTTTTCAATGGTTACTTGTTAATTTTGTCAATAAATATCAAATTTACATTAAAACAAGCAATGAAAAAAACTAAAGTTAAAGCAATCGGAAATCGATAATAACTTACCTTTATTTTATTATATGACAATTTTTTCGGCAAATCAAATTTTTAATAACTCATAACTAAGGCAATTAGGCATTAATTTTAATTTGGAAAGCATTCCTATATTAGTTTTTATTTAGTTTATAAATCTGGATACTATTAAAACAGATACAAGGAAATCCAAATTTTCTCAATTTTTGATCATTTTAACGAGTAACGCCTTATAAAAATTTGGAAAAATCGAAAAAAAATGTTTTTCTCCAGAAGATGTCTAGAAAAATTGTTGATGCTGATCAAGAATATATACGATTTATAGGGTCGGAACTGACTCCTTCATTGCATTTCAAGCTCCTGACTAAAGGAATAATACCCTGCAAAGGTATAAAAATAGGTCGATCTTTATATGACGATTTCTCGATAACCCACAGCCGAATGAACTCATAACTAAGCCAAAAAAGCATTAATTTCGATTCGGAAAGCTGTTCTGTGCTAATTTTTAATATGTTAATAAATCTGCATACCTAAATTACATTTTTAAAATATTACAATTTTTGTCAATTTTTCAGAATGTCAACAATGTAAAAACCTGGCCTAAAATTTTTATAAAAAATTATCAACATTTTTTTTCTTTCCTAGATGCCTAGAAAGATTCGCCTGTTGATGCTGATCAAGAATATATATGGTTTATAGGGTTGGAAATGCCTTATTCGAGCGTTATAAGCTTCTGACTGAAATTATAATACCCTTCACGGGTATAAAACCGATTGTACTTAAAAATATTTATTTAAAAGTCGAATTTTTACATGAATATTAATCGATATTAGTTTTCGCACAAAATAAAAGCATTCTTAAAAGAGTAGTTTATTAAATCGGAGCATAGATTTCCTAAATAAATAGAATCAAAATATAGATAGCAGGAAAAAGATTAAAAAATAAAATTTATCCTTCCATATAAACATAATATCAAAACTTTCAGTGCATCCCTGAAGCGACATTATGCATTCCTGTAAGCCGTAAGGCTATCGGCGCTACTTAAATTTGGTCTTGGCCATCGTCGTCGAGTGGAATTATATATGTATATATACTTATATCTATATATATATATTTTTTTTTAATTCTCATTTTCAGTGGCAGCCACTCGCCGCTGCTTTTAACCAAATCGAATACAGCGCGATTTGCCATTGATCTACATATGTGCACTTGTACTTGCCGCCAACAATCCGGTCATCCTTGCAGCCTGCATCTAGCATCGTGCGACTAACTAACTAACTAACAGTCGATCTTAGTGCTAGTCGATCAAATTAGTAGATCAATTCTAGCGATTGGTGGGCTAACGAGCCGATAATGAGCTAACACATCGCTCACACACACACAGAATTCGATCCGCTCCAATCGGATCGGATAGCATTAAGTTATTAAGTCGCAAAGAACATCTGGGGGAAGGCAAAAACATAATCACCGCGCCATATAGATTCATTATACAAATTGGATCGATCAATCCAATGATCGTTTTTATGATTCAATCGTCGGTAGCTAGGAAATGGATAATGGTTCATAAATTATGGTTAATCGCACAATATTTATGAAGCATTAAGTGCGTTGGTAATTGGGATCTAAATTTATTGAACGTAAACTATTTTTGGAAGCTTTAAAAATATATATATAGAATGTGGATGAAAATTATAATTATACAAAATTTAAAGCCAATTTTTAGATTGTGAATTAGACAGTAACCTTTTAAGCCTTTAATCAGCGTATAATATTTCTTATTAGTCATGTGCAAAAAGTTCCCATTTGAACCATTCACATTTGGGTAAACATTTACTTCCGATTCATGTGCAATAATCTTTTAGGAAGCCAATCAAACAAATTACAATTTTAGTCTAAGGTTTCACACAAATTTTTTCTTCCTACATCATTTTCTACCTCATTGTTTCTTTTACTTTTTGTTTTATTTAATAATTAAATTGAAATGTGCACGGCTCGTTCTAGCGTTAAGACTATGGCGAGCAATATGCAAAGTGTACACGCCCAAGGTTTCAGAAGTCACAAAATTGTTTCACATCCAATCGGGGCGGGAATCGGAGTCGCGTTGACTTGGTCGTGATTCATGGAGATCGAGCGGCGGCGGTGGCCATTCACTGGGATTTCCTTGTCCTTGGCCGTGAACCTTTTAACGGTTGACTAGCTGCGTTAGCTTCTGATCGGAACGATCTCCAGTTTGGTCAACCAGTTTGTTTGTTTTATTTATGTATTTTTTGTTTTATTGAACTCGAAGTCTCATGATCAAACCATAATAAGTGAAGCAACTATATAAGCTGGGTAGTAGTAGTAGTTGTTCCCTGTCATTAAACAATGTTTAATTGTTGGCCAACCTAAAAAAAATAAATAAAATAAATTTGAAATGGCTCCTTTGAGAACCGATTTCGAAGGTCGATGATTTTTGGCTTTTGCAATTTTTAACTTTTGTTACATAAGACGGATTTACTTTTTTCTATTACTTTTCGTTTGTTTTGTTTGGTTTTTTCTTAGACCTAATGATCAATCATCAAGATAAAAGAGCGTTCAAACAAATTAGATTCTATAATTAAAATTTCACGACCTTTTCGGACTTTATTGGGTTTTTACTGTGCCACACACATTCACACAGTGGCATTGTTCTATTAAAAAAATGTTTAAGTTTTGGCTCAGTCACGTAGTCCACTTTTTTGCCCAAAGTCGGGAATATATATTGAAGTACAGTTTCTTTTTGCGTCCATTATTCATTCCATCGATCATAGTTGTCAGCATGAAATGCTGAAAAATCCGGGGAAAGCAGTTCCTGTTGGGTTTTAGTTCTATCAAATTGCTATAGAATATAAACATAGAATAATAGAATAAAAGAACGAAGCCGCAGACCTCAAAAAGTAGGCTAGCTACATATAATTAATTATAAATAAAAGAAGTCAACAGTTCTTGGCATTATTTTTCATTAAATACTATATATATTTGTTTATAGGAAACGTTACAGTCTGGTAACAAAAATATAAATACAATTGATTTTATACAAAACCAGAAACCGATTCATTGCGGTTTGTGGTATCATTAAATTTGTTTTATTAACTTGTAAAGAACCTAACTTATTTCAGGTTGATGATGATTAAGGCAAGCATAATAACAATTTACAAAAAAAAAACATATTAAATTAAAATACGGTTCAAGGAATTAAAAGAATTCCTCAAGTCTTCATTATACCCTTGCAGAGTATTCTAATTTTAGTCAGAAAGGTAAAACACAGTGAAGCAGTCATTTCCGACCCCACAAATCATATATATTCATGATCAGCATCAACAGGGAAATCTTTCTAAGCATATAGGAAAGAAAACAAATTTTCATAAATTTTTTTCAAATTTTTTAACAGGTTTTTAGATTGTTGACATTTTGAAAAATTGACAAAAAATTAAGTTTTTTTAATATTTAATTTTGGTATCCAGATTTATTAA